GTAAGAGTGCAACTTCCAACAAGTAAGAGTGGGCTTTTCGGCTAAATAATCCTAAGGACTTAAGGTACCTGCGCAATGCTGACAAACTAAAACTAATTCCATCCACACTGAGGAAATTCTGTGTTTTTACAGTGTGACATAGCTAAAAGGATATAAAAGCATATTAAATCCGACAACCCAATCATTGTTGAAGTTTCATGTAGCATAGCTCAGCAATAACTGTCCTTCCTGATCTCCTAAGTATGACATATCATCTCAAAGTTACGAGATTGTTATCTTGTAATTATGAGATAATATGTCATAATATTGAGATCAGAATCCTTATAATTACGAGATCTATATCTCCATAATTACGTAATTACGTGCTGATCTCTTGGAAAAATTGGAATTTTTGTTGCTCGACGCTCCAAATCAACCAATCAGAGAAGCTGATCTGGGAGCTGGCAGGGAGACAGACACATCACTGATGACACAAATCACTATGATTACTCCTCTGAAACAGTTTATTAACGCCTAAATTAACTTGAAATGCCAAAACCTGCCCGGAAAAACATGTTCACTTTAATATCCTAGTGCATTCAGTTTGGATTACGTACATGAAAACCGCCCTTCAGCCGCCACGGCAAACCGCGAACAAACGACCAGGCCAGAGGCTGCTGTTGAATGGGATTCCTACTGACAGCACACCGCCGGTATGTGGGGGTCTGAGCGGCTCCCACAGCAAAATAATATTTGAAGGCAGGATGGTAATCTGGATGAACTGACTGCACAGATGAAGTTTTCAGGTGGACTTTCTCACTGAGAAATATATTCAAATTCTTTTTTACCCAATGATAACAGAAAATGTATAATATATTGTTACAAGCGAAGAAATGAAAGGGTAGCTCCGCCCAACGCACATCAAACCCACTTTCCACAGCACGCAGAGCAGGAAAGCTCCTTCAGCCGCGCGTCAAAACTAAACTTGTACAAGCATAAAAAATGAAGCAGCAAACGCGTTTTTGCTGCTCTCGCCGCTTGCGGTGTGAGCGTAGCATTACTTTGGGCAGGCGATCTTGGATCTCACGCCTCAGTCTGCTGCACTGTAGTCGACCAAAATCCCGGACGATTTTGAAATTCCCCCCAGAATTTCTTTTAGGTATGAAAAGTAGGACATGTCCGGGAAAAAGAGGACGTCTAATCACCCTACCATATGAACAATTAGATTTTTCAGTGAGTGAGTGCTTGTAGCTATGATGCGTCTTTGCTCAGCGGCTTAACTTGTAAACCAATCAGCGCCCAGCTCATCTAAATATTCATGATCATCCAATAAAAGGAAGAAAACGTTTAATTCTGGGGCTCTTAACCAGGCTTGCATTAGGGCTCATAGAACAGCAAATGTGCCATTTTCAGCCCAACCAATGTTACACACCCTATTCAGAGATCATAAGGACTAGCGCTACATACCCTATATCAGGGGGTCTTCAACCTTTTTTCAGGCCAGGGACCCCCAAACTGATGGCGAGATGGAGCGGGGACCACCTAATTATATATAATGTATGATATTGTGTTGTCAAACTGGTCCTATAGTCACTCTATTACATATGGAGTCATGTAATGAAAGTAATTTCTCCCTGAGATTATCAAAGTATTTTTGATTCGGATTCCTCGTTAATGGGACAGGTGTTGTGAATTGAACGGTGCCCAGCTTGAAAGAGCTCCTGTGTGTTGCTGAATGTGTGCATTGATGACTGAAAGACATCTTCTGCCTCCATTTATCTGTTTACTACAGTGTGTTGAATTCATGTTAATGTGTTTTTAAAGACATTTCTATTAGTGGAAAAAAAATGCAAGGGGGAATATAAAACAAAAAAGCCTAATCAACCAAACTTTTGCAACCCCCACGCAGTACCTTTGTGGACCCTCTAGGGGTCGCGGACCCCCTGTTAAAGACCGCCACCCTATATAATCATTCTATGACCTCTTTAAATGAGCTACTTCTTTCTGGGAATTTCTTATATTTCTTAAGTATGTTGCATTTACTCAGTTTCAGAGAGAGTTTTGTTCATTTTGGTAAAAATACCAAATAACAGACGAATAACCAATAAGATGGAAGGTCTCACTACATAGCCCTGGAACAAACTGCATTCCTGGTCATTTATTTTTTGTTGTTTACGGTTAAACTGGTGCATAGCTTATATTAGTTAGACTGCTTGTGCAGCAGAACCCATTTTCCAAGACTCATGACTTGTTTTTACTGCAGATATAGTGTGGAGAAAACAATTGACTCTAAGTGTGTGCAAGAGGGAGAGAGTGATAAAGTTGTGTATGCACTTCGGCATATCTGACTCAGTGCATTACCACACATAGATCAATAAGGATTCTATTCTTGGCCATTAGCTTGTGAAAAAGGGATAGCCTGCCTCCCCCAGCCCCCTTTTTTTTCTACTCTCTTCTCTTCCTCTTAACTTGCCTTGAGCTCAACCCTAGGTTCTCTCACTGACCAGTTGATTTTCCAGCTGGATGATGAAGAATGAACCAGATGCAGAGGCAAGCATCAAACATGGGAACATGGATGAACCACAAAACTGCCGTTGGCTTTGTGGCGTGGACAGATCAGGCCACTCCTCAGAGGGTACATGTTGGCTTCTCATGTAATTCTTAGCTCATTCCTGCTCTACCAGGCTAAGGCTTCTCATCTGTGTCTGCTATAAGTGCTCCAAAGGGAGAAAACAAATGTCTGAGAGGTCACCCAGGCAAAAAAAATCCACATAAAACAAAGGAATCCCTCGAGGGAGTGCAACCAGCCAAGACTACAACACCTCTAATAACAAAACATACAGCAATGCAGAATTTATGAGACGTGAAGCCGTCATTAAATCCTTTCTTCAATGTCACCGTGGCATCAGATAAAGATACAGAGCTGACTAAACATCAGAACAATGTAGGAGGAGGATGACGCACGCCAAGGAACAGATACTGTATGACTCCCCTTTTTCCCCTGATGTGGTTCAGATAGTTTTATCAGATCTACATCAGTCAAATTCGAGAGATTCGTTGGATTTCAAAGTGACCACTTTCCCCATCAGGATCCCTACTTAGGATGATTTATCTCTAAGCTGATTGAAGTCGGACATCTTACTTACAGCCATTTTTGCTTATCCTAGGAAGCATCCCTGTTTCAGCAAATCCACCAGTACAGACTTTTACCATAGGAGGAATTTCCTCGCCTGTCGGCTAATAGACGTGAATATGCTCTGGTTATGTTACGCTGTTTTTGTAACAAAAACTGTAAACCTAGAGAATCTCTGTAATTGATCCTCCCATTTGCAACATAGGTGAGGACTGAGTCACAGGCATGGCTGCCAGCAGGTAGGAAAGAAGAAACAACAAGGCGGACGGCTCTTCATCACACTGTAATGAGCTGGCAATGGCTGTTGGACAGGCAGAGGAACACATGGAGGAGCTGTAAAGGAGGCCTTACACAGGCAAGCTCGCGGGCGTTCTCTGAAGCTATACGACTCCCCACGGTGTCATTTTATGGCAAGCTGTTGTTTCTGCTTGCATAAATGTCCTCATATTGCAAGACAGCGGTGCACTTGTGGTGATTCGCTGGACATTGTCGATGGGAGTCAGATATTAAATTGTTAAAAAACAGTCAAACAGAGACCATTAAAAGGTTAGCAAAAGAGTGCCTTAATTATTAAAATACGTTTTTATCATCATCATCATCATGTCATAAGACATCTGAATGACTGCAGACTTACAATCCGCCCATAAATGAGATTTAAAGGTGTATCAGGTGCTTAACAGAGCTGCTCAAACAAAGCCAGAAAAAGGGGAAAACACTGCCATTAACTATATCATAAACTTTTATTTCATTAGCATTTTATGTAATTCTCCAACACAAAGTTGTGCATAGTCGTAAAGAGGAAGGAACATGGAGCGGTAAAGTTTTGGACAATTTTAAAGAAAAATTACGTTTTAAAAATCACACTACATGCTTTCATTATTGAGAACTGTAAATAAAAGGGGTAAACCTACAATGCTCTCCCAGCAAGAAGAAAAATCAGAGAATTAGACTTTAGACATTAGGTCAGCAGAACTGACCTTCCTGAAAACGACAAGCAGAAACCAACTGTAAAAGGGAGGCCATAAGAATCCCATTTAAGGTTTTGCACAACCCAGGCAGATAATATCAACATGTTGAAGGTGTTCTGGTCAAACAAGACAATGTTTAATCATCCTATAAAACATCATTCCTGCTGTATAACAACATGGCAGCATCATGCTGTGGGAATGTTTTTCACCAGAAGGGTCAAGGAAGCTGGCCAGACTTGATTTTAGCAACTGAAACCACACCATACATTGTTCTGTTTATACTTTTCAACATTTTAGAAACAAAAAAATGTGCCAATCTACCAATTAAAATCCCAAAGAACACAAAGTTATATTGGCTTATCGTAAAGTTAGAGTTACTAGAGTTAGGGTACAGCTATATGGAGAGGCTAACCCTGCAATCCAGGTGTACAATTCCCTACCCCGACACCCTCTGCAGCACGTAATCTCATTTTCTCTCTTTCCCAGTACTGTCTCTGTCTGCTAAAAAATAAAGGTCATGGAAGCCAAAAAAAATAAACAATTGATAAAAACACAGTGATGTTAGAGTTTGCAACACAAAAAAGAATGTGGTATTGTAGGATAGGAAAAAGATATACACACAGATATTAAATTGAAAACTAGTTCAAGTTAAATGAACATGGTTAATAGTAAAGATACAACCTTAAGGAGATGAGAAAAAAATTTGAACTTCAGAAAGTCTGAACTACTGTACTGCTCAAGACCACTTCTGATTTTAGCAAAAAAATCACCCCTATAAAGCATATTACATAAAAATAAATGCCTACTCAAGACTCTTGCATGGTGCTGCTGTCAATCAACCTCAGGCTCGAATGTTAGCTCACTTACCTTTTGGCGCCTCAGGGCAAAGCTTCCTGCAATAGCTCAAAATGAAAGGATACAATCTGAGAGCTCCACTCTGGGTACCGATGGCCAGGATCTTTTGCACGGGATCGAAAGCCATGGATGACGGCTGATAGGGGAAGCCATGACGAACAGTCTGGTGTGATGAGCAGATAGAAGACAGAGAGAATGGAAAAAAGTCAGATTTCATAACTGAAAATATCAATTTGCATTTCACAGCAGGGGTGTTGTTTTGACAGAGGATGTCGCACACCTGATTTCAGTAAATAAATAGCCCAGATGGATGTGGATGGCTGTTATGAAACTGAAATTTAAGCTTAAAATGGCAAATTATGGAGAAAACGAGACAGGATAAGGAGTAGATATTTTTTCTCTGTCTGGCTTTGTCTTTGTTTAAAAAAAATATATATTCTGGCCTCCTTTTCCAAATCAAATGCCTATTTTCAGAAATCTTATTCCTCCTTTCTTGTTTTATGTTGTTGTCCTTTCCCTTTCCACGCCTCCTACATGAAGTCGTGATTAAAGAGAAGTAAGGAAATAAAGTACAACAATAAAGTGCATTTACACATGATCTAGCTTGTATGACACTTAAAAAAAGTGTTCTTCGATTGATGTATGTCTGATTTTTTTTTCTAGCAGTCAGTCAGTCATCAGCGGGCCCCTGGATTTGTTTGCTTTGTGGCAGACGGCTAAAAGATGTTACATAACGAGGACTCAGTGCAGCAGAGACACCTGCTTCTCTTGCAGGGAAACATTAAAGATAGTTCTGGTCTAGGCAGACAGGAAAGGTGCAAACGATTGGAAGATGCTTTAATCAGATGCCAAGCTGTTTTTTTTTTTTTTTTGGTGGGGTTTGGGGGGTTGCATACTTATACTGCTGTGTCTACAAAAGATTTAAGCTGTCATGATTCTCACATTGGTTGACCTAACTCTAAAGATAGACGTGTATCTTTTAAGAATTAAGACCGCTTGATTTTTACAGATTAGCAACAGCACATTCAGACAGCGATTTAAATTCCTAGAAGAACAGAAGGGAACGTTATTCATGAGTCTCAAAATCCCTTAATTCTGATCCCATAGCTTATCAGACAGACACCAACACAGGTAGCCTTGTGTATATTGAGTTGAGATGTATGAATATATCAATCTTTAAAATAAATTATATTAGTAATTCAAATTTGAAAGTGAAACTAATTTTTATGGCTAAACAAAACAAATGTAACAGCTGTAGCCCAAGGCCCGGACTTCCCAGTGTGGAAATCTCACTAAAACCCGCAACTGGGCTTTGCTTCATGGTCCTCTCAAAGCTGTGGAAAGATTTATGGGGATTAAATTTTCTACTTGATTTTTTTTCTTAATTATTTTGCAAAATCTGTAAACACCCAAATTCTTTAGCGTTGCTTTTGTGAGTCACCTTTCTTTAGACGGTTATTGCATTTTGTTTCTGAAAAAAAAATAATTTAGGATTTTCTTGAAGGATAGATTTAAAACTACTCCATACATTAAAGGACTTTTCATATTTCCTTTGTAATTAATGCTGCCTACATGTGGTCTGGTAAAAAATATTTTTTCTAGTTGTAAAGTGGAAATTAACAGCACATTACGTTCAACTGCTTTTATTGTGGTAGAGAAGAGGAACATGGTGAATCCACAGATTATTCTGACCTGCCACTAGGGCAAAACAGTTATAGGCTCATCTCCTGGTTCCAGTAAATCATGCGCTCACTGGCGTACACTACAGATCAAATGAGGAAATTGTCTACATCAGAACACAGCTTGCACGGTACCCTCTGGCTGCTATCCTCGACCGACTGCTAGCCTGATCAGATCAAACCAAACATCAAAGGTTTATTTACAACCAACACAACTTTAAATGACGATAACGTATAAATAAACGTATATTTCTGTATTTTGCAGGCTACAAACACCAAAAAGGGACAACATTTAACAATGTAGTACTCATACTGAATAGTTTCCCTGCTCTCCGCCATTTTGAAAGGTCAAAGTTTACTTCATCTAGGCAACTCAGGTAACAAAATGTATTCAAATGTTCCAGTTGAAATTATAACATGAGGGGCCAGCTTTTGGTATTTAAAACTGATGCTTCCGTCATGTGGTAATATAAATATGTTAAAGCTGTTGATGAAACAAAAAAATGTATCTAAACAATTTGGAAATTGTGTATTAGAAAAAAAGAGGGATAAAGGTTTCCGCCAAATAAAATTTGCATCTTGTTTACATTGATACTTTAAGAACATTTTATTAAGTCTTAATATTTTTGATTTCCGCAGATTACCAGCTGGAAAGAATGATAGTGGTTCAATTAGAACTTACAAACTTTACCAGCTGTACACATATATTTGCATCTGTGTGTAATTGAGGCATTAATATAGTCAGAACAGTCTAAAATCCTGAATGGATTCTTTAGCAACCACATGGGTCAGAAGTGTGGGGGAAATCGATATCAAACACACAGTGCGGTTTATTAACTCCACACCTCGTCATTAAAGAATAACAGGGGAAATGCTAGATTAACTTCACAATGGGCTGATATTTAGCATAGAATGCATGTAATTATCTTCTCTGTCATTAATCTATGCAGTCTAGATGGAGGGAGACAGACATTTTTATTACTTTTATTTCCTCTAAATAGGTTGCAAGTCACTTTAGGTAATATTATACCCTGCAGGACAAAGAGCCTGGGGGTGTTTTTTTAATGTGTGTATGAATGGATGATGGAGAGGAGTTGAGGAAAATGTGAGCATGGGGTAAAAATGTAAAGGGAAAGGCACAAACACATGACAAGCATTTTGCAAATCCAAAACCATCAGATTATGCAAGAAAGGATCAGTTGTGCCCAGCCCCTCGATATGACAGCTCAGGCCATGCGCACACATAGCAAACTCTGGCATTTTGCACAGAGTGTACCAACGCATGCCACCATACTGTGACCAGATTGGAAAAAGGTTCCAAAATGCAACCAAAACAAAACTGATTTGGCCTGTCTGTTTCTTTACTGAAGTAGCTGGCCTTAATTAGTGCTTAAAAAAAAACCAAAAGAAATAATCACAAAACGCTTCAAAGATCCGCATTATCTGCTTTTAAACCTAAAAATAGTTGAGATGAAGACTTAAAAGAACAAAGGATTTCCTTTTTGTCCTAGTAATTATTTAATTATTTGCAGCTTTGTTGCATCGTATGCATCCTGAAATGGGATGAGAGGGAACCAAACAAGAATTGAACAGGCATAGAGGATGGGTTAAGTGGAGTCCCAGCGAACTGAGAGAAATCTAAGTCTCCCCCACCTTGCAGAGCTGGAAATGCTCGGATTGAAGAGTCTCCTGGATCAGGTTGTTCTCCTGGGGCCCTACTTGGACAGACGGCGTGGAGGAGGAAGAGGAGGAGGAGGAGGACGCCTCTTTCAAACCGTCCAGCACCTTCCTGATGTTGAACTTCTTCATCTTCACGCCGCGCAGCTCAGATTTGAAATCACCCGCAAAAAAAAAAAGAAAGAAAGATGAGTGCAGCCCACTTTCTTACTCGCGCGCGCACCCGCGCGCTCTGTCTCCCCTGATTTCCCCTGTGAGCGTCATATCATAGAGCATCTCCTTTAGCGCAGTGTCCATGCTGGGAAGGCGCAGCGCACAGGTCGCCTCTCTAAGGGGGAGGATAACAGTGGAGGTTGGCGTATAATTTGCTCGAATCCGTTCTCACTGCGTCCCAGCTCCACCACCACTGCGTCTCTGTTTTTTACTCCCCGCCCCTCTCGGACTGTGTGCGCCGCGTTTGGCTCAGCCAAGGCGGAAACGCGGCGCAGAGCTGGAGAAGCTGCTGTTGCTGCGCATGTCTGACAGAATATCTCTTAAAATCCTGCCACTTTTCCAAGCCACACTCTTCCCTCTCTCTCTTTTTCATCTGCCTCCAGCGACAACGCCCCCTCCCTGCCTGCCTCCCTCCCTCCCCGTATCGCATCCACGTTGTAGGGCTTTGCTCCGCTGCACCTGGTGTTGCGGGGATGCTACAGCTTTGTGCTGTATGCGTGGAGAAAGACAAGCAAACACACCGCTGCTTCTGTGTCATTCTTTTCCATTGCGCTCAGGCCCCATCAGCCAGAGGATTCTCTGCGTGAAGTGTTTTAGAAACACAAGCAAACAGTGATGAATGAGAAGTAAGATTGCTCACTTTGTAGGGTTATTCGCTTGTAAGGGTCAGCAATCACCAAACATCTAGTTGAATTATTTTTCAGATTCAGTCAAACAATGGATGGAATGTTATTATATATGTTTATTTCAGAGAAAATGTTAATTTAAGGTTATGTTTAAGGACAGTATCTCTTCTTGCTTCCACCCGAATAACCTTCTGAAACTCTGAAGGTCTCCATGGAACTCTTTGTCAAAGTGTTAGATTATATATATATATATATATATATATATATATATAAAATTGTATTAGTAACAATTTCTTGATTAAAAATCCTTTATTGTTTTTGTAAAATACTAAGAAACTGTAAACCTATCCAAATTAAAAGAAATAACCCCATTTTTCTATTGATTTAAGAATAAAAAAGAATTAAACTATGTCTGTGGCCAGAAATGGTTTCCTTTTGTATATTGTTCAGGTCTGTAGCTCACATTTGTTATTTTCAAAGGCAAAAGTCATTCTAATTTCATACTGCAAGTAACATAAATATATTAATGATGGCATATTGTCTAAAACCGCAGAGCATAACATCCATGGTGTTGTTAACAGGAAGAAAAAAAGACATTATCGAAATGGTATATCGATATTATGCTGAAAATGCACTTTATGCCAAAAAGACCAAAGAGAGCTTTGGCCGAGTCAACAGCCAGACCACTTGTGAAAACCATGGATGGGGGTTGTAAGCATTAGATGTTATTCAAGTAATACAATTTGTGTTTTACCCAGGTTTTATACGCGTTATGTTTCTGTACAAAGTGTTTGTGCACACTTTATTTATTAGTAGTGGGACATGCCTGTAGGCCTGGGAGTTTG